ACGAAATTAAGATTGTAACGCTAAACACAACCCTCATCTGAAACCAGTTCACTTTTGGGTTAGAACGTCACGAAAAACGCCCGCAACCTGTTCCACAGATGTTTTTGCGACATGAGTACCGACTAGTAATTGCTACTTACTGTAGAAATAAGTCCCACCCATCAATCCAGTGAAAAACGCCCAAATGGCTGACCGGTGAATCATCAAATTGCACGACACGAATCTTGCATTCATTAAATAGTTTGTGGTTGTCACACAGCTTTAATGGTTGGCCTATGGATGCGAGAAGTTAGGAACGATTAACCAATCCGTCAGTTTCCATGACCGCTTGTCCTTCCGGGTCTGCTAATTTCAGCCGCTTGTTCTCTGGATCCAAGTATTTCAGTCATGATTCTGCAACCTGATACCTTAGGTGACCATTGAGATGAAGATAAACTTGAACACAGAGTGCTTCAGGCTCAGATCAACTTTAATCGCAACAGTTCATGCTAGTTCGCACTGAAATCCACAGGCTATTCCAATTCGGCGGTCGATCTCTTCCTCCAGTTTTCCATCACCAGTAAACGCGACTCTAAGGTACTCCACCAGCTCCACTGCCTCTCCGTCAATCTGAAGAGAGCAACTGGCAAAACAACGAGAAACCACTTGTGTTTTCGTTTTGGAGAAGTTCACATGGTAACAATTAACAAGCTATCGAAAATATATGCGCTGAATATCCATATGTTTTATCCATAATGATTTAAACATTAGTTGTTTTTGCATATGCTTCTAAATTGTCTGCAATTACGCTGTTTTTCTTTCAGTTTCGCAGGCCCATTGCTGAATGGCTTGCAAGACTAAGGAGGAGACGGCTAACCTATGACTATAAGTGTGAGGCAATTTTTCCTGAATAAGAACATGAAAACCGGACTATGAATTAACGCGCAAGTGGAAGAGTTCAAGGCAGCACATCGAAATGAATCATTATTATGAGTACCTTTCATTCCGAAGGATTTGATCATTGGTCAAAGGTTGTGCATTGGTTCAGAAGCAGAAAGACTTCACCAAATTTTACATTCTATTGCTCTTCCTTTACTTTGCACCGATCTGCTTCTGCGGTCTCTGGAGAAAATAAATGGCTTGCATCTAGAGCCTTTTAAAACTACTTTGCAACGAGTCTGAGTCTGTGCTTGTGCTGACGAGTTTGAGTCCTCTGAGCAAAGGCTTAATAAAGACAACTGTAGCTCTGGGCAGTTCTATTCTAACCGACCGAACTCATCCGCTGTACCGATGTATTCCAACAGTGCTCTTCGAAGCGGCCCAGCACATGGTCCACGTACGTTCCTCGCTAGTGCTGGAAGCTTACCAAAGGTCAGCTGTTCCTTTCGCCTTCTGATGTCTGATCGATGCCAAGAAAAAAGAAATGACATTTTGGATTAGACTCTGGTCAGAATGACATAGATCTACTCTTATTAACTGATTTACTAATTAATACTTGTTCACTGCTATATTCAGGGTTTTGGCAACATATCGCGTACCTTACAATTCATTTAACTACATTTTCGTGGCTGGTTGGTTTTACCCTGCTTTGAAGTTTCTTGTTGATGCCAAACCGTATGTCCAATATTAATTGTCGAAAGACACGTCAGCCAATTAAACCACACTGAGAGCAACATAGACATGCGGCATGAGGGATTACCAATTCAGGTACCATTCTGCTCCAATCATTTGCCGGTCTGCCTATATTGACTATTTATCCCGTGACAGTACCGTGGTTTGTCTGAGCACGGACCTTGCTAAAGGAATTTCCCTTAGGAATATATACTGAGAAATTAAATAATGTGCTTAGTGCGGTCTTCTTATGATGAGAAGAAATAAAAAATCATACGACGGTGATTCAATATTCCACGTGGATGGCAGATCAGTGATTGATTAATAGATGAGCTTCTTCAGTGGTCATTCGCTGGGGATGATAGCTGGTTCAATTCCGCCTTTCGTCTCAATAATTTGAGATATTTCTCGGTGAAATCTTCACTTTCATGGAATCGATAAGGAGGAAAAGAATAATCGTTCTTCTTTGTTTCTGTATGACTTTTCTGTGAAAATCTTCTTAGTTCATTGCATAAGCGCGCTGGGAAAGTGTGACTCTGTAACTCAAGAAAATGAAAACGCAGAATGAGAAATAAATTGTCTGTTCAACTCATCTGTTTGGTGTAACCATCAAATGAACATGGAAATGAACGCAACAGAAGTACTAGAATTTCTCATTGCGGTGAAAGACAAAATCCATTTCATCTCACCTTCACATAACAGAGAATTAAAGACAACATAATCTCATGAATTACATGCTTCTGACGTAAAGAAACACAGTTTTAGTGGCAAGACCAACACGAAAGATATATAGTGATCGTATCCAAACTGAAAATCACGTTAAAAATCTGCAGAAAAGCTGACTGTTCCAGAAACGCTGAGAGTTGAACTGAGATTTTGAAACTTCCTGCTTATTCTAAAGTAATTAAACAACTCGAAGGTAATCGCTGAGCTGAATAGTCAATGAAATACTTCGAAAATTAGAGAAGGAATTTAGTTTGGCTTTGAGTGTTTAAAGCAGCAATTGAAATTGTCTCCCACTATTAGCGAAATTTAAGAGATTCAACGTATTGTTATGCAGGGAAAGTGAATGGATAGCTCAGCGAGGGTGGATTACACGTGAATAATAACAAAAACGTGAAGAAAATAAGAAAAGCACGTTTGCACTTTTCCCGATTGGCTTTAAGTCGCTATCATTTTCCGCTGATGCATATTCTGTCTGTGCCTAAGTTTGAACATTTGGCTGATTATACAGGGAAACATTGTCTGTGAATTTCTGTAACACGTTTTGAGGTAAAACGATCAATCCGCACACCGGGCTGTCGGCATCCCGTTTCCCACAGCGACAGGTTATCTCGAACATTCGACGTCGTTTTTCTACGAAACACGCAATTTTCTATAGTCATACAAAATAACGCCACTTAGGAATTTCACTTGCCAAAAAATCTGATAAAGGAACTTTTTTGATTAAAGCATTCGTCTTCCCGGAAAGCTGAAAATTGCTGTCCTTTAGGTTCAAAGTCTTTATATTAGAGATTAATACAGATCTACTAATAAAACTAGAAATCCAAAAGCCGTAGCCATGCCATGGAGAAAGGCTGAATGGCGAGAAGCTACGTGTCCTGTTTCATCAAATGTGGACCTAAAGACGTTTCCCAAGAGAATGGAAGCGCGTAATATTTGTCCCTATATTTAAAGAGGATCTGGTGACCGAGCATTCCAACTATCATGGCATCACGCCACTAGCAACTCTCAAACGTTGATCTTGGATTATCCTGGACAAGGTGACTTCGCCCAAATCATGTAGGCTTCCCAAATCCTGCATGGGCTACTCGTGCCACGATCAACAAATACAAATTTTCATTCTGTGTATGATCATCGAGCAATGCCGACAACTCCAATTGACTTGGTTCGCTACATTCCTCATCTTTAGAGCTGCATATCATTTATTACATTGTCAAACGATGCTAAAAATCTTGAAATAGTGCGGGATTCCTGAACACACCGTTTCTGTTTTGGAAGTGATGTATGCAACAACCATATCTGCTATCAAGGTTGAATTAAAACTGTCTGTGTGACTCCATATTAACTGTGGAGTTCGCCAGGGAGATGTGCTTTCTTTCTCCTTCGCTACTCAACATTGTTCTAGACCTTCTTATCAGAAACAGTGTTGATGCTGGCAACATCGAATGTCTCATTCTAAAGCAAAGGTACAGTTCAATATAACAGGCTAGATATCTTATTGACCTAGAATACGCAGATGGCATTATCATAATGAGTAGTATGGGGAGGGGGTTATGTCACTCTAGGCTTCCGTACGCAACACAGCTGCGAACTGACTTCTTTCTTAATGCCCAAAAGCCAGGAATTATGAAGAAAAATCCGCACAGCTGACTTACACGTGGAACGGGGAGGTGAAGCCAATCAGGAGGTTCAACTGTACAAGTATCTCGGCTCCATCATCTCTATCGATGGCACACTGCAGCCAGAGTTGAACAGGAGGATCTCCAGAGCTATGAATACCATTGGAAACATATCAAATACTCTCACTGAGTTAGAAATTACTCTTCCCACGAAAACCCGCCTATACTTTGCTTCAATCAGGTCAGTGTTGCTGAACGGTATGAAGGCAGTTATTCTAACAACGGGGCAAGAACAGCAATTGAACTTCGTAAAGCAGCACTGGCTTCGACTCTTAGTGAACATTAGATGTCAGGAACGAATCTCATACTCTTCTGGGTATAAGTGACCTTGGTAGGTGTGGAGATTAAGAAAAGAAGGTTGCTACTGCTAGCCCGATTGGTTGCGGTCAGCCTCTCGTGTGGATTCCGGTACACGTGAACGTCAACTAGGAGTCCAGCATGCCACATAGAGGAACAAGGTAGGGGCGTACCTGATGTTGAAGAGGAACATTTTCTTCTGCGATGCAGCAGCCGGTGTCTTCGAGCTGATAATGTACTGAAACACTGCAGATATACCGGACATCATAATCCAGAGACGTTCTGCTTACGTTGGCGGCTTGAGATGATGATCTCAACAAACACAAACATCTCACGCAAGCGAGACTGTGCCGGAATTTGCTGTCTTGCTACGTAATGTAACACCATTTAAGAAAGCGGTGAAGGGTCAAAAAGGGACAAAAACATCGGTACTCATTCAGTATATTGTCTTAAACATAATTAAGCATATTTTCTACGTGAATTAAGCCTTAACGTAAAATAGGGCTTGTAATTCTTCCGTCAT